ATTGCTCAGAATAGCACTGTAGTTTGATGTACATCATTATTGATCATTGTATTCAAAATTAAAAACAATAGTCATTTCTGTAACAAATTAGTTCACTTGATTGTACGTTCACTCGCAGTCAAAGGCCAGCTCTAAAATAATATCTTCACTTCTTTCGGTTAGGTTGTTTCGGTTAATTCATAATTCATAATTAGCTCTAATGAAGACAYTGTTTGTTCTAAATCATTCTCAGAATTTAGTGTTCGAGTATATTCTCAGGGAGGGCACTAGAAGTGAAGCCAAGTTGTGCTTTTCTGCCTAATAATACCTTAAATGGTGGCTGTTTGAAACCAGAGTGATAGCTATAATATGTTAGATTGCACAAAAGTTTGGAAATAGAACTCATAAGAGTAGTAGTCGCGCCCACGTAGGGTGCCAAGTGATGCGATTGCACTGGTTTCTCGTAGGTCCCGGGGTCTACATACATTCGGGGGCCCCACTCTGGTCTCTTAATCAGACACTATAAATACATAACTATTCATCTGGTCCATCTGAATATTTAGATCGTTGAATAAAGCGTAAAGAGWTGGCAGTGCCAAATATGCAAACAAATAAATTTGGGGTCCTATAGTTATAACTGCACTGGTGCGTGGAAAACCTGTGGGYGCCACTGATAAGAGATAATAATATTAATACTGTTATTACAGTTTCACGTATTTTGTTTTATATCACAATAATACATGTGTACAATGATTATTGTGCACATCGCATAGGCGCACATAGTGTGTGAATTTAGGGGGCGCTGAAATAATTTATAGTACACAGACCCGTGGGGAGTGAAGCCCCCCACTACACCACCCTAATCCTATAATAATTGCATTGCAATAATTATAAATTTTATTAAAAATAAAAMTAAATATTTTGTAATTATATTAMAAGTTATAATAACATGTAATCATTAATTATTAATGTAAGACAAGATTTAATTTTCTGTTTGATATTGCAAATGTTTGCACAAACAAAATTTCCCCTTCTATTTTATTGGTAAGATCACTCTCAATGCTAAGCGTAGATAGCTTGGTAAATCTTTCTATCTTTCTT